TTTTAACATGGTCATTTTTAAAAATTATGCATGTATTTTAATACATACCTAAATAACACATGCAACATTTATTAAATACGGAGTAAATATTATTGTAATACCTACCCCATGCAATATTAATTAAATACGGAGTAAATATTATTGTAATACTATCTACAGAATGCAGTGAACACTATATTATCATTGTATTTACAACCACTATTATTTTCTCAATTTCATTTTACTTTCAAAAAATAATATAGTAATAATAACATTTAAAATTATTATTTAAACATTTGATGGAAGATTAAAAGTGGCACTGCATAAGTGAGGCTAATTAAATTTTAACAAATTTTGTTATTAACTAAAAATGGACAACCCTTTAAAGAATATGACCAAAAATAAAATTAACTCTAAAAAATTAAGAGTTAAAATAATTAAAGGGCTAACAACCTAGTAGAAAAATGCATAGAGCCGAAGACAAGGCAATGGGATTTGGCATTTGTGCATGCACCACGTGAGCAGAATAAGGTGTCTGATATACTGGCTAAGCAAGCCTACGAGCATGATCAAATTATTAGATGGTTCGCCCACCCCCTAAGCAATCCATAAAGCCTTAAGAGCAGATGAGCTAGGCCTGTTGGACAGCATGATCGAGCACCGTGAGGATTAGCTATTAATCCTGGATGTACTCCCCTTCCTATTGGAAAAAAAAAAAAATTAAAGGGCTAAATCTAATACACAATATATATAATGTTCAACAATTATAGATGCATTTGCTCGGCACATTGACGTCCATTATGACAATTGTATTTAACGAAACGACACGTGTCTATTTTTTATTTTTTAAAAAATATGATTGACTCTATTACAAGGAACGTGTTAATTTAGAAAGTGCAAAGTAACAAAATACATGTTTTTTATTTGGGGGACAACAAAGTACATGTTATAATATGGACCATGGCTCTCAGTGTAATTTGTCGGACACTTCTCAACACAATCTTTTGATTATTTATAAATTCTTTCGAGAATGTTGAACCCCAATCCTAAGGGTCTCCTACACCCCGACCCGACAGACCATATAGGAGAATGTAAATCATGGTAACTCAGTTGAACATGAATCACAGATGCTAAACATTTGCTTTCATTGCGCGTTTAAATGGCTCAAACCTAGTCCATCACCAATTCACCATTTTATCCGGATGAAAATAAGTTAGCCCCTTCATATAAGCCTATATAACCTGGCATAGTTAGAGCATGCATGTCATGTTTAGTAACATCTATTATATAGTAGACCATTGTCCATACAATGTGTTATATAGACAATGATCAAATATGATTATCAAATGAAATTGTAGTAGAGTTAAAACGATACTTTAATTTTGTTAAAATGAAACAAAAATAATAGTAGAGTTCGTGCAGTAATGTATATTATCAAATAAAATTGTAGCAAAATTTAAATAGTACTTTAGTGTTGCTATAATGAAATTAGTGTATGTGTAAAATGAAACTAAAAAACATAACGCATGCGATAATATATATTGTCAAATAAACATGAAGTGTAATCAAATGTACACTTCAATGTTACTATAACTAAACTAGTGTGTGTAAACAAAAAAATAAAAATAAAAAATAGAACTCATGCAATAACATATATTGTCAAATGAAACTGTAGTAAAATTAAAATGATACTTTAATGTTGCTATAAAAAAACTAGTGTGCATGAGAAATGAAACTAAAAATCATAACAATATTGTTAAATGACATTGTAGTGTAATTAAAATGATATGAAGTTTCAGGACTATATGGTATAATGGTACTGAGGTTGGACTTTCATTTGGAAGGTTGTGAGTTCGGGGCTTAGTGAAGGCGTTATTGGCAAAAAAGTGATATGAAGTTGTTTTGCTTTATGATCCATGTTGCTACATGGACCATGGTCCACAGTAAAAATTTGTCGTTCAGTAAAAATGCCAAGCTTAGGACTATTTTAAACCCTATCAAACTAAATAGGGCAAGACCTATGTACAGAGTATGGCCTTTAACCCTACATGTCTGACTTGTTTATATATATATATATATATATATATATATATATATACACACACACACACATAACAAATCAGCTGAGGAGCTCCCAGGTAAAAAAAAAAAAAGGTTAAATCTTAGCAATTGATACAATCCAAGATCAATTGTTCATAATGAAGGGAAATAAAAATTAAAAAAAAAAAAAGTGATGCCATTTTGATAATTTGTTGTGTTTTTTTACATTATGTTCAAATTATTGAAAGCACAATAATATCCACTCGAAGTCACAATAATATTCACTCGAATTCACAATAATATTAACTCGAAGGCAGAATAATGTTCACTCTAAATAAAAATAATGTGCACTTGAAGGCAAAGTAATGTGCACTCAAAGACATAATAATGTGCAATCGAAGGCACAACAATGTGCACTGAAAGACATAAAAATATGCACTCCAATGCACAACATTTAGTGGATTCCATAACATCTTGTATCACATTTCATTCGCAAAATAATATAATAAATATGTTATATGTGGATTTGTTTCATTAACCATGAATATGCACATGATGACACAACATTAAACACTGGAAGACACAAAATTGTGAACTGAAAGACATAACATACAATATTTACTATAATTGTGTTTTTGCATTATATTCAAACATTGAAAGCACAACAATATGCACTCAAAGACACAATAATATGTACTCGAAGGTACAAAAATGTGTACTTAAAAGTCAAAAATTTGAATAAGATTCTTTGCAAAAATAGAAATTGATTGTCCCAGACAATATGATATGTTGATTCATACTAATTTAGGGCGAAAAAAGTTTATACTTTTTTTTTAGACATCAACAACTCAAATCTTACCTTACTTTTTTTACTTGAGAGGGTTCATGTGAGAACACTTTTTCTTGTAAAACGGACGAACACATCTACACCCTCAATATTTATAAACCAAATGCTATGATCTTATTATTACTGAACTTTTAAGTTTGCAATAATTATAAAATGAGCTCACTTTTAAATTTTTAAATAATTATAAAATTGACAATTTTTTTAAAATTTTTTACTAAAACCCTTAACAATTGATAAATTATGATAGATGAATGAGATCAATCATCATTTTTTACAAGAAATTCAGGGTCCGTTTACTAACAGAAAATTATTTTATGTTTTCTGTTTTCTAATTTTTTAGTTTTCGTTCTCTGTTTTCCATTCTCAGTTTACTGTTTAGAAAACTTGTTTACTAACAAAAAATTGTTCTCTGTTTTCTAATTTTTCAGTTTTCACCTAAAATTTAGTTTAGATAATATTAATAATTTTTTAGCTAATATTTAAAATATTTTGTTTGGATATATTCATTTGAATGACATGTATATGAATATATAACTTTTACTTTGAATTATAATATATGTGAGATTTCAATATCCGATATCTAGACCGAACTTGTATTATGATGTAACATAATTAAAAATATTCGAACTAATAATCTATTGAGTTCATCAAAATCTAAAACATTATATAGAGTTTAATTCTTAATTTTGATAATGTAAATAATGTTTAACTTTAACAGGGCGTTTGGTTGGAGGGATTTTAAATTCCCTTCCCACTTAATTCCCACCTAATTCCAAAGACCATTAAATTCCGTAGTTTGGTTGGAGGGAATTGCAATTCCATGGAATTGCAATTCCCCCATTTTCATGGAATTAAAATCCCATGTCCCCCCTGGTATTTTAATTCCTGGGAAAAAAAGATAGTGATGAGTCAAAATTACCCCTTCATTTTTTAACCTAAAATTAATGTCTAACAACAATAATGGACTTTTTTGACTTTATACTACTTATTCCCTTTCAATTCCCATGTATACCAAACATTGAAAATGAAATTACCAGTAATTTTATTCCTGTCAACCAAACACTAGAATTTAAATTCTCACTTTATTCCCAGTAATTCAACTCCCATGAAATTACAATTCCTTTCCCACATAATTCCCTCCCTCCAACCAAACGCCCTGTAAAGTGTAAGCAAATAAATTATGTTTAAATAAGTAAAGTAAGTAGAAAATATAGAATATAATGATAAGTAAAATAAGATGATAATGAATGTAATCATAGTTGTTGGTTTTTGGATTTTTGGGCCCAGGGAGGTCCAACACAACCATGGTTGGTGGATTCACCTTTCAAAAATATAAGGGAATAAGAACTCTTTGTGAATGTGGGTCTCTATTCTCTTGGTATGAATTCGCCCCTTTTACAATTTCTGAGGAGCCCTTTTATAGTGGGTCTCCCTCGGATTTGACTTAAAACATACATTTAAGGCCATAATTGGCCCATTAACTATATTTTATCTCTAAAGGCCGTTGGGATGCCGTTACTGGGCCTCCCAACGACTCTTTGACTGGGCTCTTAAACATCTTCTTAAATACTCCAACGGTCTCTTGGCCCTCGCACCGACAGAGCACTCGCGCCGACCTCAGGATCGGGCCGACTTCCCTGTCTCGGTCCATGCCTCTCTTGGGCCCTCCTTCTTTTGGGCTCGGCCCTTCTTTCCTTTCGGGCCCCTCTTTATTTTTGGGCTTCTTCTCTTCTTCCCAGACTTTAGGCCCGGGGTCCACACCCCATCAATAGTAATGTGGTTATAGTGACATATATAACTAAATAGATGATAGATGATTTTGTTTTCCATTTCGAAAACAGTTTTTAAGTATGTTTCAGTTTTCCAGAAATTACTAGAAATTATTTTCAATTTTCAAAATGAAAAACTATGTTAGTAAACATGTTTTTTGTTTTCCATTTTTCAAATATTTTCAGTTAGTAAACGGCCCCTTATATTCTCATTTGATATTGTCTATATAATCATATATATATATATATATATATATATATATATATATCCAATATTAGATTATTATATTACAATTTATACCTAATGTATTTTTATATTTACAATACAACCCAAGTATATATATCAATTTCCAAAATCCCCAATTTGGCATCTCATTTATCTCTTGTTCTCCTGCGGCTGGACTCTGGGATTTGCAACGAGCCGACGATTCCTTCGACACTTCGACCGGCGACGTGCGGCAGCGACAAAAACTTCCGTCGAGGCGGCGACCGACCGACAGTGATAGGTATCTTCCAGTCTAGCAGTGGTATAGTTACGCTTGTAGCAGGTTGCGAGCCGGAGGGCTGCTGCTGCTGCTACGGACTACGGCGGAGGCTGCTGGTGCTGATACGGGCTGCGGCCTGTAGCAGCGGCGGCGGCTGTTTCGGATTGTGGTGGCAGCTGCTGCTGCGGACTGCATTTTCTGCAATTCCCTCAACATGCATAAGATTGATTAATAGCCTTTTTCTCACAGATTATGGCTTTATCTAACACCACTATTGAGATTAGTTCCCGTCCTTGAATATATTGGGTGCTGGGTGGTGCCCTCTGTTATATATTGATGTGGTTTCTTTTGTTTATGTTTTTTTTAATCTGTGTCAAATCGCTTATGAAATTTCTATTGTTAATGACAGGGAACTGAAACTAATTTGAAAATTGTTTGGAGTATGAAAGAAGAGACTATCTTAATATGTTGCTCTATTGTTGTTGAATTCACTCTGTGAACAGCCATATCAATCTCTGCTAATCCGTTCCAAAATATATCTAAAAGAAGCAGAAGTTTATCTCATGAATTCAATATCCGTTTCCTCGTCTTTCCATCCCGTCACATCACCTGCTCATACACTTATTCCAAATACCCGCTTACAACCATTTAATTGTTGTATTAGCCCTTACTCCCTTAAAAATCATAAATCCCCCTCTCTCGCCCTTCAACTTCCAGTTGCTCGTCGCAATTTTCAAACCTGTACTAGTGCTACAACTCCTTCAAATGAGGGAACAGTTTCTGTAGTTAGCTTTGAGGATGTTATGGAGAAAGACTGGTCATTTCTTGATGCTAATAATGGACATTCAGATGAGGAGCATGAAGAAAAGATTAAGAAAATTATAACTGCTGGAGGGATTTCAGAGAATTCAAAAGTTTTAATTTCAATCAGTTCTGAAGAATTTGTGGATAGAGTGGTTGATTCATCGCCTTGCAAACAAATTCTTGTAGTTCATGACTCTCTCTTTGTGCTAGCGTGCATCAAAGAGGCATATGACATGGTTAAATGTTGGCAAGGGGAACTAATATATGTACCGGAGAAGTGGGCACCTTTCGATGTAGTGTTTCTCTACTTCCTTCCTGCCATGCCCTTTGAGCTTAGTCAAGTTCTAGAAGCACTCGGGAAGCGATGTATGCCAGGTATAATTCCTCAATCTTCCTCCATAATACTTTTACAAGGAAACAAAAAAACGTATGATTTGGTTTTTGCCAGAATGAAAACCTAGACTTGCACACTTATTAGTTTTTTCTTGAAAGATTTGTAAATAATGATAATGCTGCAATTGTGCTTGTGTTAACAACTTCTGGTGCTGCTGAAAAATCCTTGTTTTCCGGTAGAGGAATCTATGAACTAAGATGCTCCATCCATTACAGAAGTAAATTCGAAAAGAACAGAAGGCATATAAGGAAGAAAAATGTGCAATGCCATTCTAACAATATGCTTATGTAGGTGCGAGAATTGTGATAAGTCATCCCCAAGGCAGGAAAGTGCTCGAAGAACAGCGAAAGCAATACCCCGATGTAGTAGTGTCGAACTTGCCAGATATGACAACGTTGCAGAATGCCGCTGTTGAGAATTCATTTGAAATTATGAGCTTTGTTGATGAGATGGGTTTGTACCTTGCCGTTTTGAAATTCAAGGGATGAACTTAATTTGGAAGATTTAGCCTCTGGATTTGTGTTAGCAATCCTTTATGAAGGGATTTTGTTATTGACCATTGTGATTTCCTTTATCAATTACTGTGTATGTTCAGAGGTTAATGTATTCATAGAAATGATAGAATTGACCAATGGCCTTGCCTTCTTGTTATGGCGGTTGTATTTTGTAATGCCAGTTCATTTTTAGGTCACTGATTCAACTACTAAAGTGTGGTGGTGATTTTATTGGGGGTTGAAGCAAACTATTCTAATGTGGCATTGTCAAATGGGTGTTTTAAAAGTAGTTGGAACAATCTTCCCAATGTATGGCCTCTTTGTTAAAATAATTAACCTATTAGCCAATTTTGACTTATTTGACCACTATTAACTGTTTGATTTGGTTAAACAATCAATATGAGTGTTTGATGAATTAATTTTTGTAACAACTTATTGTTCCAAAATGTTAAAATTCAAAAAGCTGCTCAAGTAGTTTTTTCGATCAGCTTTTTAATAAAGTCATTTTATATGTAATCAGCTAATAGCTAATTTACCAAACACTTTTTTACAATTAGCTAATGCTATCAACTAATCAAATTCACTAACAGCTATCAACTAACAATTATTTACCAAACACCCTCGTAATCTTTTAATCTTCTTTATCTTGAGGATGTGCGAAATTTTTATCACTCTTTTGTTTTGTCTCACTCACCTATTTATGTTTTTGGGCATCACATTATCTTATACTCTGTAATTATCTATTACAAAGTATTTAAAAAGAGTGAACTCCATACATTACAATTACCTCATTTAAGAGAATCAACATTAAAACAACCCGACCAATTTGGTTGCTATTGACCATAGAACTTATTTCACTCCTCACTCTAAAAAACAATAATTCAAAATTTCATTTTGGTGAAACAATTTACTTTACCAAACTAAAATACAATTAACCAAAATTTTATTTTATATAATATATTTTTTTTTTGAATGCTTATTTTATATAATATAGTTTATCAAAATATCATATATATATATATATATATATATATATATATACTAATGTAATTTTTAAAAGACATAAAGAAGGGTCGAAGCCAGACTAGGAGTGATACGCAACCTATGTTCACATTGAAGTGAGGCGCTCACAAAGATATAACCTTTGTCCACTCAGTTTATAAATATATATATGAGTTAATATTCAAAATAATCTTCGACTATAGTGGTTTTTCTCAATTTCGTCTCAAACGATTTTGGTGACCTAATATAGTCCCAGACTTTTGTGTGTTTGCTCACTATAGTCCTCTTTTTGTTAATCCGTTAAGTTGGTGTTAAATAGAGCGTCAATTATGTAATTTCAATACTATTTTCTTTTTAGTTTTTATTTCATCTGTGAAATCACGAGATTGAATCGCACAGTGATTTGCTGGGGCGGAAACGAAGCGTTTTGGAGTTAAAAACTGGAAGGAATCTCATTCGAATCCATAGTTTCAAGGTTGGATTTCGCGCAAATTATGCCATAGAATCGTGTTCACCGAGAATGGTGAACACAAGGCAAAACGACGTCATTTTTAGGCCAAAATTTTTTTTTTGCGGATGTGGAGTTAACGGCGCGCGTTTGATCAAATTATGAATTTTCTGTTATGAGATTATGAATTTTATGGAAGTTCATAATCTCATAACAGAAAATTCATAATCGCATAACAGAAAATTCATAATCTCACAACTGAAAATTCATAATCTCATAACAGAAAATTCATAATCTTATAACAGAAAATTCATAATCTCATGGTTCCAAAGTGAATGTGTAGGCATGGTTCCAAAGTGAATGTGCAGGCATGGATTCATAATTTATGAATGTCCGTGATTTCGGACGGGAATATGTAGGCATGGTTCCAAAGTGAATGTGCAGGCATGAATTCATAATTTATGAATGTCCGAAATTATGAATGTAATGAAAATTCATAATCTCATAACAGAAAATTCATAATCTCATAACAGAAAATTCATAATCTCATAACTGAAAATTCATAATCTCATAACAGAAAATTCATAATCTCATGGTTCCAAAGTGAATGTGTAGGCATGGTTCCAAAGTGAATGTGCAGCCATGGATTCATAATTTATGAATGTCCGTGATTTCGGACGGGAATGTGTAGGCATGATTCCAAAGTGAATGTGCAGGCATGAATTCATAATTTATGAATGTCCGAAATCTTTGTTCACCTCAAATTAAAGTGAAACCGCAAAATGTGAAAATAAAGAAGAAAAGTCACGCAATTAATTATTAAAAAAAAAAAAAAAAAGATAACGGTGTACTAACACCGTTAGAACCGTGTTCACCATGAATGGTGAACACGGTTCCATGGCATAACGTCTGGGATTTCGCCTATGGACTGAAAACTAGCGATTCCTCCGTGATTTATTGGGGCCCTGGCTGGGCCGGAGAAGACGATGATGAGCTGCTTTTGCCTCAGGTTCTCCCCGGCCCATGTGTTCAGAGTAATTGCAGTGAGTGTGGCGTTTATCCCCAGTCTCAATCTCTGTTCCGGCAACGGCAATACTTGTCGGCCATGTGATCGTACAATCCCAATCCCAATACCAACTCCATCGACGGCGCCGACCAAAGACCCGAAAGGACTTAAAAGGTGTTTATTGGCCTCTACATTTACAGGATCATTTGGGGGATTTTCTGGCCTTTGCACATTACTCTATTGCCTCTATGTCTGTCTCCGGAAACAAAAAATCCACAATTCTGTTCAACCCACCATTAATGGCAGCACACAAAAATCGAGCAGCAGTCCAGTTTCTAGAACTCTTGATCGGAAAAAGAGCGATGTTTAAGAATGGGAACCGCGGTGTTGCCCCCGATGAGCGTTGTGGAGTACGCGGTGCTGGCAATCGTGCGGAGAGAACTGGAGAAGATTTTGGACGGGAGAGTTGGGCAGCTGGAAACCATGGCGGAAGGCCGGAAGCAGAGGCTGTAGAGCTGGTTACAGAAGATTGTATTGAAAGTAAACGGAAGAAAATTACAAAGGAATAAGGTTCAAATTGGCCACTGAACGTAACACGAAAATGCAATTAGGCCACTGAACGGAAAAAAAGTGCAATTAGGCCACTGAACACACAAAAAATGTACAATTTCACCTGGTAGCAGGTTACCCTCAAAAAAGTGGATTTTTTTTTACAGTGTTCAGTGGCCTAATTGCACTTTTTTTTTCGTTCAGTGGCCTAATTACATTTTCATGTTACGTTCAGTGGCCAATTTGAACCTTATTCCAATTACAAAAGATTGTATTGAAATTACATAATGGACCCTCTATTTAACACTTATTTAACGGATTAACAAACAGAGGACTATATTGAGCAAAAATATAAAAGTCTGGGACTATATTATGTCACCAAAATTGTTTAAGACGAAAATGAGAAAAATCACTATAGTTGAGGACTATTTTGGGTATTAACTCATATATATATATATATATATATATATATATATATATATATATATATATATCTTTATAAATAAAATATATTCCAAATGTTTAAACGTGGATAAAAATGATAAAATTATTATTAAAAACTGACACTTTGTTACGCACATTTTTTTTTATACCAATTATGAATTATTATTATTATTATTATATTTTATTTTTCATATTCAAGAGTTTCAGACAGTAGTCCTACTGTTGAGGGGGGTTAAGGCCCGAAAGCGGTGTTGTAGTATTGTACCATTGCCGCAAAATACTGTTTCTTACAATCCAACAAGTATCTCTCTTTCCTATCTTCTCTCTAAGTTTAGGGTTTCGCCAAGGTGACTTATCTCCATACATCATTTCTCTCTCTGTATATATATATATATATATATATATATATATATATATATATATATATATATATATATATATATATATATATATATATATATATATATATATATATATATATATATATATATATGCCTGCACAGTGCTTCACTCTTCTCATTTCTTGGTGTTTGATTTATTACAAGTAAGCTCTACTTTTCTACATCGATCTTCCCGTATATTCATTTAGTTTAATTTCCTGTGTTTCTTGATGGATGGTTGACATGTTTATGAAGAGTATAATATTCTTAGTAATTCAAGTTACATGTTCTTGTGTGTGAATTGGGCATATATGATATATCTGCTGATCTTATTCATTTTATATTTAGGTGACGATTTTGTTCTTCATCTCTAAGTGAATGCACTTCTCCATTTTCTGTAGATCAGATTCTTGAACTGGGACTCAATTACGGGCTTCTACCCTGAGTGTTTCTTGAAAAATACCGAGTGTTTTTGGAGATAAGGGTGTTGAGAAAATGAGTTCATGGGGTGATCCAGATGAGAATGTGCCACGTGATAAAGCTGGGACTAGGGGTGGAAGGGGTGGTTCTGGCAGACATTCTTATGTACCACCTAAGAATCAGCCACATGATCAAGCTGGGACTAGTGGTGGTGGAAGGGGTGGTTCTGGCGGACATTCTTATGTACTACCTCACCTTAGGAACAGAGCACCGGCAGCCAGAACTCCAGCTCCCTCACATAGTGCCCCAACATTTAGTAGTGACAGGTCAGGTGATAGTGGACCAGGAAGGGGGTCAAGGTGGGGTGGTCCTAGGCAAGGTGGTGGCCGGGGTGGTGATCGCGGTGGTGGTGATCGCGGTGGGAGAGGCTGGGGCAGCAGAGGTGGTGGCTGGGGCAGCAGAGGTGGTGGCCGGGGTAGAGAGCAGGAGGTGAACCCTTTTGGTAATGATGATATTGATGGTGGTGCAGAAACTGGCAATCCACAGGAAGGTACTGGTATTAATTTTGATGCTTATGAGGATATTCCTGTAGAAACAAGTGGGGAAAATGTGCCACCTCCCGTGAATACATTTGCGGAGATAAACTTGGGCAATACCCTAAACCTGAATATTACGAGGTGCAAATATGTTAAACCAACTCCTGTGCAACGGTATGCAATACCCATTTCTCTAGCTGGACGAGATCTGATGGCTTGTGCTCAGACTGGGTCTGGAAAGACAGCTGCTTTTTGTTTCCCAATTATTAGTGGAATCATGAGAGGGAATAATCCGCAGAGACCGCGTGGAGTACAGACTCTTTACCCACTTGCTCTAATTCTTGCACCGACAAGAGAGCTTTCAATGCAGGTGGGTAGGTTATTGTAAAATGTAAAGCCTTGTTAATACAATTTGCCTGTTGCTTGCACAGTTTTGTTTGGAAATTGTGATTGTCATGCTGGATTTACCACACAGATTCTTGAGGAAGCTAAGAAGTTCTCCTATCAAACTGGTGTGAGAGTTGTAGTTGTTTATGGTGGGGCTCCAATAGTCGAACAGGTCAGAATCAGTTTCTTTCAATATGGTCATGGTTTCTAATTTCATGCCTCAAATGGTTAATTAATGTGAACTTTTATTGTAATTATCCAAATTATGTTTTCTCCTCTGTTTTGACATGGTGATTTTGAGGTTTTGATTTGTACAATCTTCCATAAGATTGGCCAGTCTGTTTTCATGTTCAAATATTCTGTGATTACTCATGGGATATCATTTCTATTATATGTTGTAAATTTTCAGCTCTGGGAACTAGAGAAAGGAGTTGATATTCTTGTGGCAACTCCTGGAAGATTAGTTGATTTGGTTGAGAGAAGAAAGGTCTCATTGCGGATGATAAGATATTTGGCACTTGATGAGGCTGATCGTATGCTGGATCTGGGATTTGAGCGTCCAATCAGAAAAATAGTGGAGGAAATGGATATGCCCCCATCTGGTGTAAGGCAGACTATGCTGTTCAGTGCCACATTTCCAAAGTCGATCCAGGTTTTCTAATCGGTGACAAGCTGTTTTAGTTTACCTTTTGAGAAGTCATTCTTAATTATCTTTCTGAGTATTTATCTAGTTTATTGTTTTAAGTGGCATGCCTTTCCTTTTAACTCATAACTCATGAATTGTCGATATAGATATTAGCTACTTTGTTCCCTCAAATTAAGGTTTCCAAACGAATTGGTTAGAAGTCACTATACTGCATAGAAAGGAATGCATGTTAGTCTGGTCATAACCGTGTTCAGTGTCCAAATTGACCAAAAAACTTAACATATCAAATTGAGATCTTTCTTGTCTACTGTCTCTAAGTTACACTGAGCATTACTCGATTGAAGAACTGCTTCTAGGGACTGGAATTTTGTTTTCAATTTGATCTATCTGATAATTTTTCCCATTTTTGGTTGGAATGCAGAGTCTTGCATCTGATTTTCTCTCGAACTACATATTTTTGGCTGTTGGAAGGGTTGGTTCCAGTACCGATTTGATTGTTCAGAGAGTTGAATTTGTTAAAGACAATGACAAGAGAAGCTATCTGCTGGATGTTCTTCATGCAGAGAAGGCAAATGAAATTCATGGCAAGGTAATTGTAATTCACTGGTTCAACTATGTAATTTTGCTTTTGATGTGTAACCCTAATTGTAGTAATAATACTGGAGATTCTCCTGGAAAAAAACAGTTCATCTTAGAAGAGAGGTGTTCTTTTGACTTTCATTTGTTTATACTCTTGCTAAATCTTTTCCCTGTATATATGTTATTTTGGTGTAGAGTGACCTTTTGTCAATAGTATACTTTTACTAACATTCCTCTTCCCACCACTAACTTGAGATCTTAAGTATCAAATAAAAAACAAACTTTGTTTTTTCTTCTTCTCAGTTGTATTGATTTTTAATTAATTGAGTGGCTATCCAGTTGGTGACTGTTGCTTTAAATTTTGCAGAAAGCTCTAACTTTGGTATTTGTGGAAACAAAGAGGCGGGCGGATTCATTGGAACGTTGGTTGTGCTCAAATCAATTTCCTGCAACTGCCATTCACGGTGATAGAACACAACAGGTAGGCAGTCATTTGACATCTGGAATGATTTGTGCTTGTGTTTTGATCTAACTCTTAATCTTTTAACATGTGTCAAGCTTTCACACTGTTTTTGATTTCTTAATCTTTGTCATGTTTTCTCTTTGTTTTCAATTTTAACAATTATTATAGTGAATAAAATGGTGGTAATCAACTTAGTGTTTGCACAATTGCATGCTCACTTGTACTTGTCTATAAAGTGTGAGTTGCATGGCAGAAGAAAAGATAAAATTAATGGGTGGAGTTCGGTGTGTTTCTCATATTGCATGATAAGATTGTGATGCCTCTGAATGATTACAAGTTGTGTGCAGGAAAGAGAGCATGCATTAAGGGCGTTTAAGACAGGGGGTACTCCCATTTTAGTTGCAACTGATGTGGCATCGCGTGGTCTTGATATTCCTCATGTTGCTCATGTCATCAATTTTGACCTCCCTAACGACATAGATGATTATGTGCACCGGATAGGAAGGACAGGGCGTGCTGGCAATACAGGATTGGCAACAGCCTTTTTTAATGAAACTAATGTACCATTGGCCAAAGCATTGGCGAATCTGATGCAAGAAGCTAAGCAAGAGGTACCTAATTGGTTGACCGGCTATGCTAATGCTCCCCGTTCACACAGCGGAGGTAGAGGCAAGCGGTCTGGTGGGGGCCGTTTTGGTGGCCGTGACTTTAGAAGGGAGGATTCCTCCTCATTTGGAAGAGGCAGGAGTGGCGGCGGTGGTTATGGCGGTTCTAGTGGGGGAGGATATGGCGGTTCTAGTGGGGGAGGATATGGCGGTTCTAGTGGGGGAGGATATGGCGGCGGTGGTTATGGCGGTTCTAGTGGGGGAGGATATGGCGGTTCTAGTGGGGGAAGTGCGTGGGACTAACTAATGTGTCCCCATGGGATTGGGAATTTTAGATTTTCAGTGGTGCAAAAATGTGGTTGACTGATTTTCTTGTCTTACATAGTTACATTTTTTGAATTCATCCATCCTGTTGAGGAAGGCAGCCCAGATTTTGTCATGCCCAGTTATTGAAGACTACTAACCACCAGAGTTGAATAGCAAACGTCATTCTTCCAAATGTAAATGTCAAACGTGCCTTTTTTTTTTTTTTTTTTAGTTCCCAGAATTACTTCCCGAGTTTGTATACATATTATTACATGCTAATGCTAATTGCTATACAATACAATGATGAAATCAGCTTCATAATGCCAGATTTTGTTCATACCATTCTTTTCTTTTTCACTATCCCACTTTTCTTTTCACAACTTAAGTTAAAATAAAAAAAAACCAATAAGATAGTAAATGGGTACAACTAAAGTGGTGGCCGAGAGAGATCTTGTTCCTACCCAGTACCCACTGCGATGCCACTCCATTATTTGGTTAATGATTTAACTAATTCATATTTTTTGTTTTGGTCCACAGGTTTTCTAGTAATGTACACATTTCAACATGATTTTAAGTTTTGATCTACATGATCGAAGGGAAGAATCATGTCCCATTACAACCCTACCATTCAAGGGTTTTTAAATTATTGGTGCATCCATCATGCATTATCTTAAGTCTAATTTATGATGAACTATAGGATAAAAAAGAATCTAATTTAAGTACCAGAAACTTGAGAATTTTATAAAAATAAGGGGCAAAATATAGAATTTTACTAGGAAAATCAAGCCATGATCTCCAATGGAAAACCTGATAGCACACAAGAAAACCTTATAAACTTTATGACGTTCTCTCAACCCTTTCTCCTGTCCAAATAGCGAAAAAGCAATGAAAAATAATCCACCCATGACCCAACTAAATCACGAAAAGTAAAAGGCTAAAATGTTGTGAGGTGCACGCATTATTGTGTGCCACATTACAAATACTCAAGCTTGCTTCCATAACTCAATGGAGAACAGAGACTGACTGCCGAAGAAAAAACAGCAGCAGCTACCTCATTGAGGTTATTTAACTATATCAGAGAATGAAAACTTGATGCCATTTGCAAATGGGTTGTATTCCTCGATGGGATCCTTCTTATTGCAGCACCCATGATCACCACCATTTCTGTTATCTGTTGTCAATTTTGAGGTGAAATTTCCAACCGTCCCTTCTTTAACAGAAGTAGGATCAGAGAAGGCGAAAAGAGAGAAGCCTGCATTTTCCACATTAGATTTGTTACACTTCCCATTTTCTGCAGTTGTTCCACTTATGGGTGCTTCCACCGTCTCCTGCCCTCCTTTCAACCCACCTTGATTGCAGCAAACCTTGTTATTTTCTTTTGAATTAACACCACCATTGGTTTGAGCAACTGACTGGAGCACAGTTAAATGACCAGGATTAAACAGTGGTTGAGGCATGTGCTGTAAGCCACCATAATGCATCACTGGTGCACTTCCACTTAGACCATAAGCAAAAGGACTCGTTAATACATAGTGGCTGGGATGGGGAAATGGCATCAAACCATTTGTTGCAGGTGCTGCAGCCCATGAAACTGGACTCTGATAATAGTAGCCCATTGTTGAAGCTTGAAACATTGGGAAGTGAATGTTCTGACTACCAACAGGTGGAAGTACAGCTTGTGGTTGAATTCCCAAAGTAACACTTGTTTTTTCACATTGTGAAATTGAAGTAGATGAACAGGGTACTTTTACCGAAAAGTCAGCTCCTGAAGAAACTGGAACCGAATTGTTAACATCTGCCCTTCTTTCAGCAGTTTGCTTTACTCCAGGTGCAACATCATGACATTCACTGAAGCCACTTTGAAGACACAATGGTCTTTCTTCTGAATGTTGACTTGAGTCTTCAGAATCTGATGTAGAGGAAGATTCTGGGTTAAGGAGATTTGCAGAGGAAGAATTGCTGTCTCCCTCACTGAGACAGGATGAGCAATTATCAGAATTAGAAGAGCTGTGTATTGATAAATCAGAAGCCCCTTGTATAGATGATTTATTCCTAATCTGCAATTCAACTTCTACATCGGCTACTTCCTTCTGACAGTCTGGGGACTTCACTTCCAAATGGGTACCGCTTTGGCAACTATTTTCTGTTTCAGTGCTAGACTTTCTCAAATCTTGTTCATCTGTCTCTTCATGTCTGATCAGAACAGGAATCTCAGACATTTCATCAGAGCTATTGGCAGCAGAACATTTGAGATGTTTATCAGTTTCACTAGTTTCAGTACAAAATGTAGATGATCTTAGTGTAACATCTGAATATGAGTTGCTCCGTGGATACTTTCGTGATTCTATTGGCTCCCACACTTTCTTGGTAGTAGGTAAATCCCTGTTAGAACGGTTGCTCCAAGTACTAATTTTGTTTTTAGGGCTTGCATAACTCTCACGCATGTATTCCGTCTGACTATACTTGCTAATATGATATTGCTTGGAGATATCTGATGCAGAACCTGACTTACTTACTGGTTTAGCCTCCCAGGTCCCTCTGGACATGGAAGGTTCTACCTTCACTCTGTGATCAGTATGTTGGTTACAGCTACAAGAATGGAAGTCATATCTATCATTCTGTCTATGGTTGGCACACTGAAACTTCTCAGTGAACTTGGGGGCACCATTTCTAACACTGGACTTTGCAGTATTACTTCTCAATTGCTTGTTTAATCTATTAGAACTCCTTGAAGATTCAAAGCCATCACAATGGCGTCTTGCTTCATGTTTGCTAACCATATCCCTATTCTCAGAAACAAGTAGCCGCCTACCTGGCCATTTCAAGCCTGAATCCATTTGAAAGTCTTTCCAAAATTTCATGTTTTGGTGAGAATATCTCAAATCATCAAGTGGATAGGACTCGCTATCATCTTTCAAACTGGTAATATCCCCATCTGTACAGTCATCAGCATAATGTTGCGTATCTGAAGGAGTATACCCATTTAGAAGTAAGTCATTTCGAATGTTTTGACATAAAGGGCTTGATGCAGTAGCTTCCTCCATCTCACTGCCGGAATGCCTGTTCTCAATAACCTTGGACTCTTCATCGAAGCAAGATGTCAATTCCTCCTTTACAATGTCAGAATGATTTTGGTTCAAGTCAGAACTTTTCTTCTCTCTATCCTTCTCCTTCTCTCTTAATCTTTCCTTCCTTCGAAGCTTTTTCTCCTTTTCCTTTATTCTCCTTCGCTCTTTGCGCTCTTCTTCTTCACGTTTTTCCTTCTCTTCTTCTTCAAGAAGTTTCATCTACAAAAATGAAGTAAAGAATGGCTCATAGCTACTCACTGACATACAAATCAAGATAACACTAAAAACTGTCAGAGAAGACATTAAAAGTTAGTGTTGCAACTATTACATTTATGTTACCTGTTTCTCTAAAGTGATAATATCCTTGCATGCCACATGAACCTTTTCTTCCAGTAATTTTAATGCAAGACATACAAATATACTATGCGCATTTTGGCGTGCTGTTCCTTCTCTGAAAGCTTTTTCAACCTGCAGAAAACATGTGTTAGCATATGTTGACAAATGTACACGCATACACAGTTAAGCACCTTCACTACAAAAAAAAATCTCATGTGGCTGGTTGAGTGGTAACAAGGTCAACCACCGAAGAAATGTAAGAAAAAGAAGAAAAGGAAGGTTTTGCAGATTTGGAGGAGAAATGACTTGCCTGTTCCTTGAAAATTACAGTTGCAGCATCAAGAAGAAACTCCCGAGCAAGTTCAGGACTCTTTGCATGTTTTTGAGGACGGGTACATTCACCATCGAGATCACTTCCATCTTTATCCATGGAATCATCATCCTAATGAGAAAGCATAAGACTAAACATCCAAAAGAGACTTCTTACACAGAAATATGGTTAATGAGCATCACAAACTTGATTACCTCTTCTTCCTCAGCCTCTTCAGCATGCTCAAAAAACCTTCTGATGTTTTCCCCTCTTGTAATTGTAACAAAACCATCTCCAACCATAAGCCTACAATGAATGCATTGTTGCCCTTTCATAGAGTGAGCCTTCACAGAGAGCTCAGAGCAACGGCCATCCATTTTCCATGCCCTAAGAGTAATGTAGCACGCACTCAAGCCACTGAGGTCTAGACCATTCACTTGAACTCTTCCACTCAAACCAACATTTTCAAACTCCAAGATATCGGATTTTCCTTCTCCAGTTCCAACTGCCCATTCAAAATGATGATATGTCCCAAAAGTGTCAATGAAAGTGTGATGCCAATCTACTTGGATTGTATCACGGGAAACCTGAGAATTGAGAAAATATAATGATATCATGCCCCCATATCAAATGGAAAAGGGTACAATATATGCACTAGGCTAGACTCTTCTCATTTTTTGTTTGCATGTAGGAGGTTTGAATCTCAAGCTAAGTATGCCTGTTTCCCCATACCCCAAGGTGGGTGGGTGGATTTGGGGGGGAGAAGGTTTAAAGTGCACCTCATATTGAAATGCTGTATCTGCTACACAAAACCAACTGGTGCAGCGAGGTTCTCTCCTCATCCGCTTCAGTTCCTTTAGCTCCTTGAACTCACGTATAACATTCCTTCTGCAATCTCTACAAAACCTCTTGCTATCAAATCTGCATCAAGTAACAAAGTTCTCAATACAGGCAAAACAAAGAAGTTACCAAAACAAAGTAGAATAACTACACTTCCAGTTTACTTGAGCAAGAAATTACTAAAGGTTTTGTACAGAGTCTACTCAAATTATACCACAGAATTGACAACAGGTTCAATTACTTCTACCTTAAAAAAGAAGCTCATAAATCCTACTTCAACTTAGTTGGTAAAACATAGTTTGGTTTATGTTCAAAATAGATACCATAGCATACACGGTGCAGAAACTAAAAGAATCTAAACAACAAAGTCTATGATCTCTCATTTCAAAATTCAAATAGTTGATGCAATACAAGACACCGAAAATTGATCTTAACAAACCTATCCCCCTCAGCGTTTTCTTTTGAGGGGGTGTTTAAGTAGAGAAGGTTTTCTATCAAACGAATAGAAAATAAACAATTTAAAAGAACTTAAGGTTAACACAACTGTACAGGTGAATAGTTTAGAAAAATTCATGATTG